GGGGGGGGGATATTTCAAGGCCAAGGTCATGTTTTGATACACTGAGTGTATATTGTGTGCACATAAAAATATTGTTTCTTTCTATATTTTGAACAGTTTAACTTTTAAACACTTGGTTTAAATACACAACGGGATTAGATTAGATTAGATTAGATTAGATTAGATTAGATTAGATTAGATTAGATTAGATTAGATTAGATTAGAATTGCTTTCATTCATCGCTGCTGTCTTACTGACCTTATCCACTCATTTCCTGACTATGACAATCATGGTACAGAAATGCAGCCACATGGACATGCTATGCAAGTGCTGCAGAGACTTGATGGCCCTCTTGCGTCGTGTGATGTCTTTTTTACCCCACTAGATGGCAACATTGCACCTGATACGTGTGCTTTTCATAGGTCTTGACCTGAAATGAAACGAGACTGGGGATTGCTAGAGATATGTAGCCTAAAGGACTGAAAAATGTACAGCACTCATTTTTCATCACAGCAGTTTATTAAATTTCTAGTCAATATTTGCTGACGCTATAAAAGCACTTTAGGAACAACAATTATACTTGTTTTTTCCTTTCATGTTTTATGCTGATATTAAAATGGATCGAGTCTGCTGGTGGCTTGACACGTTTTAAAAGGCAAACACCTATATTTGTCCACTTTATGTCGACTGGAGAGCATATTGTAAGACATACGCTCCGCTCTCATAAGCATATGCCCTGATTTTACAACTAGTGATTTTTACGAGTCTTCCGTTCAATCAGGCCATTATTATCATCAGCCCAACCTTTTTGATTTACAGGAACATCTGGCTGTACAAGAGACGGACTGCAGCGCCTACAACTCCTTTCTCATCAGTTACTTCAAAACGTCTAAATCACGCAGGGAATTTTAATAGCCTTCCCATATGTGGACACTTGAACATGAGTCCTCGTCAAGTGTCCTATACGCACACACATATGCAGACGCACCTTTACATCATTTAAATGGCGTGCGCATTCCTGTTTGCGAGTAATGACCTGAGATATTTTGCAAACCTTACGTCCGGGTGCCAAGGAGTTAGTAAATCGCGGTATTAGCATGGCTGGGAGATCGGGGCCCAGACTGACATGCCTGTTTTTGGATACTGGGACAGTGATATTTGGGGTAACCGTGTGCGTTGGTGTTTGGGGATATAAATATACGCCACCCCGGAGGCCTCCGGTGTTCGCGCGGGCCTGCATGCTGACCAAGGCAGACAGATCACTTTGAGGGAGCCACAATCAAACAAATGTGCTGAAGGATAGATATGAACTTGTGTGTGTGTGTGTGTGTGTGTGTGTGCGTGTGTGTGTGTGTGCGTGTGCGCGCAAAAAAAAATCCTGAGAGACTTTTTATCACTATTTATTGTGTCGTGTACTCACGTGGTAGGGTGCTCATATTTCTCCTCCCACAGCAGGAGACATAAATAAACAGCTACAGAAAATGATGAGATGATTGCCGCGGGTTTGGTGTCTAACCTTGACCGTTTATGGCATTTCTCGGCGGTTTGCTGGTCGCTTATTATGCCGAAATGTCACTCAAAAAGTAATAGTTAAAAACAAAGTAAAACTTGTTTGGGGTTATTAGAGTGCCAAAATATATAACCTCATAATTCCAAATAGTCTGTATTTTGTTTTAATTATACGTGAGCTTTTTTCCCTGAGCCCGCAACCGCCAGCATCAACGTGTCAGACTCTTTCATTTGAGCCGTTTTTTGATAAAATCTTAATTTTCAGATATAGCCTCCTGATAAAAACAACAAAACCAAACGACTCTTTCATCCTTTCCATTTCATTATAATTAAGCAAACAGTACTTAGTGAGCAGATGCCTCCCCCGGACAATTCAATTTGACAATTTAGAAATGACTCTAATGATCGGAGGAAAACCAGGACTGGCGAGCAAAGTGGGGAGAGCTGCAGCAGCATCCTCATTTCCTGCTAGAGCTGCTGGATTTGTTCGTCCGGTCTTCATGCATGTGGGCTCACCGCGCAGTTTCATGGCTCCGTGAGCAACCATGCAAATTTTTTGTCACACTTTTTTTCTTCATCTCTTTTTTTGTGCTGTTATTGTTTGTGAGCAGTTGCTTTTGAGTGACTGCAAATTTCTTTTTGGGCAGCAGGACGCAGAACAGTTTAGCTGTAATCCTCATATTTATGTTGGATTCAGCATTTAGTCCCGCAAGATTTATGTAATGCATCTAATCAAAGCTAATTTCAAACCACCGGGCTGTAACACAAAATTGTGCGCAGCGGCTGCCAGGCTCTGTTTTTTCTTTTTTCTTTTTTTCCTTTGGTGCGCTGAAACTTTGTTAAGCCCATAATCTGCCGGAGTTGATACTCTGAATGAACACTTGGACTTCTCCGTGCAGTTGATTCCGAATCTCGTGTGAAAACAACAAGACGGAGCTTCAGTTAAAAAAAAAATACAAATAAATGTTTGAATAAAGTCCTTTTTCTCCACAGCACACGCGTGCAGAATGTGGACAATTAAAATATTGGTTTTTTGGTTGTTTGATGTTGAATTAATCTGAGACATATACGCATAAATCTGCGCGCAGATGGTGAGTGCTTCTCGGATTGTTTCACTCCACTAGTGCATGCTTTGTCACATAATAACGAGACAAAAACGAAAAAAATGTTTGTATATGATCCTCATTAGAACATTTAATCAGAATCTGTTTGGGCTTTTTGCAGACGGATGCGGGGATATTTCGTGGCGTGCAGTTTCTCTTGCTCTTCTCTTTGCTCACAGACGGAAAACTATATGGATCAAACTAACTTCCTCCCTGGAGCTGGTATTTGATTGCCATGAACATATTAACTGTCAGCTCTAAACACTAAACACAAAAAAGATTTAACACGCACACATCACGCACGCACAGAGAGAGAGGGAGAGCGCGCGCAAAGCTTCAGGCTAAGTGACTGGGGCGGGACAGTGCGCGGAGCGAGGCGGGGACAGAAGGCAGGCGGGCGGGCAACGTGGTGGTCGGGTTGGTGGACAGATGATTGTCCGCGTTATTAACTATGTTTGAGGCGTGCAGACCACGCCTCCTTCACCTACTAGTCCTCCCCTTTGCGTGCAGACCACGCCTCCTTCACCTACTAGTCCTCTCTCCTGTTTGGCATCCCAGAGATGGTCCAAAGTGATTCCTCAGGGAAGGAAAAAGAGCGCAAATCACCCGAGCGGGAGATGAGGAGGAGTTGAGCCGCTGCTGCCCGGGACTGCCGCTTAATTGCGCGTAATCTTCCGTTTCATTCATCTGAGCTGAGAGAGAGAGGAGGGGAAGACTTTGTAAATAAGGAAACGGAGCTAAGGAAAGCGAAACGCGTTTTCATCTCCTCGTTTTTCGTTTTCTCTTTGGACTGTTTGTTTGCAAAGAAAAAAAAGAAAAGAGAGAGAAAGAGGGGGAAACTGACATTTTTGCTCGCGTTTATGTCAGCTGCACCTTGATCCCGGGGACTGTCGCCAACTCAGTGCAGCCTCTCATCCTGCGCTTCCCCCCTCTTTCATCGTTTCTCACGCTGTTCATCTTCACACAGCTGCTGCTTCCCCACTCCGTTTTCCTTCTGGAGTCGCTGACACGAGGTGCAGCTAACCTCGGATGCTGACAGCTCCCGGCCTCCCTTTATTCTTTCTTTCTTTCTTTTTTTCCATTCCACATGTCGCATCTTTTGTTTACTTTGAGAAACACGCCGCAACTAAACGCCGAGTGAAACAGACCACGCCACTTTGCTCGTTCTGACAGCGCGATCAAACAGACACGCAAGAGGAGGGGAGGCAGGAGGGGAAAAGAAGAAGAAGAAGAGAGAGAGTGAAGGAGGGAGCCGAGGAGAGGAGGAGAGAGAGAGGGGGGAGAGAGTGAGTGAGAGATAGAGACAGTGTGAAGGTGCGTTTTGATGTTTGGCATCCACGAGAGCATCCAGAGGAGTGGGAGTAGTATGAAAGAAGAGCCCATGGTGGCCGGGATGAACGCGGTTCGGACATGGATGCAGGGCGCCGGGGTGCTGGACGCCAACACAGCCGCCCAGAGGTGAGCCCGAGGCGGCCTTGGCGGTGCGCTGACTGCGGGGCGTGGAGACCGGGGATATGGGGGGGAGAAAAGCCGCTCAGATCTGCGGTGTTAAAGACGGGAGAGCGGCTGCATCACTTGGGGCAGCACGAGTCCCCAGAGGACGCAGTTGTGGGATAATCACCGCTCCCCCTCCAGGCATTTCAAGCCCTTTTCCCCTCATTTTTCTCTTTCTTTTTTCTTTTTTTTAGCTCAAAGTCCGACTTACTAAAATATTGTATGTGCCTCGAAGTTTTTTATTTAACGGGTTTCAGGAAGAAGGGGCTGTAACAGTGACTAAAACTCCAGGGCGAGCGGGGTTTAAATGTTCCCTCAGCATAACTTTAGTTTGAAAAAGTGAGCGCTGAGTTTTGCTTAGACTTTTCAGCTCACTTTGTTGTTTACTCCTCCTTTATTATTCATATTATTAGTAGTAGTTGTGATTTTGTTGTGATAAAACCGAGTAGCTTATGTGCATATAGAATTATATTTTTCAGGTCTACAATTTCGCAGTTTTCCCACAAAATAAAAGAAAGTGAATTTGATTTCATTAAAGCTGCAGTAGAAAGTAATGACGCTAACATGGACGACAGGCCTACCATCGAGAGAGCAACTGATGTGTCCAAATTATGACGTTAATATTAAATAGTACGTCGAAGCAATTTAACTTTACGCTTTAACATTTAGCCATATTTCTGTAATTATTGTTGATGAAACTGCAGCTTTTTTATTCAAGTGCACAGAGACGAATTTTGCCACCGATGAGGTTGAATCTGAGGGCAGGTTTCTGTCGTGCTGTGATTCTATTTTCTTCATTTTATTCTTTTTTTTAATGTATATATATATTTTTCAATGCCCGTCGTTTTGGATGCTAGTTGGTCTGTGCTTGTGTCCGCAGCGGAGTGGGTCTCGCTCGGGCACACTTCGAGAAACAGCCGCCCTCCAACCTCCGCAAGTCCAACTTCTTCCACTTCGTCTTGGCTTTGTACGACAGACAGGGTCAGCCTGTGGAAATAGAGAGAACCACTTTCGTCGACTTTGTAGAGAAGGAAAAGGTGAGTTTGCAAATTAAATATACAAACACACACATACACATACATACA